CCCCAAAACCCCAAAACCCCAAAACCCCTTATTTAAGGAAAGTTTTGATAGGATGGATATTATTAAATAATATTAAGATGCACACAGAATATGAATGCATGACTCTAGACTGAAAGAGGCACCCTGAATTTTTCTGCCTTGCTCATGAGCAATTCACTTGTAGCCAATGTAACACCAGCAGACATTATGAATGAGACTCTACAAGGATATGCCAGTCTCTTGAGTTGGAAGAAATCTCAGATTTGCTTTATAACTTTGTGGATGGGCTCAAGAACAAAGCTGCTCTATATAATTTGTTTAAGTCTATACAAAGACTTGAAGAAGCACTCAATGATGTTGTCAAGATGCTCCAAGCCAATGTTGCTCAATGCTTCAGACAAGATAAGCATGAAGACATTTCGAAGCTTGTATTCCAAGGCAAACAGATATTGTCAGACATCTTCGAAGGAACTATCTTTGGCAATAACACAAAGTCAAATCCAATTCTGAGGCTTCTGTTTGACAGCCAAGTGCTGGACACTCAGAATGGATACTTGATTCCACCAATGGGAGTTATCGAGGCTCTTGTGAACTTGAAATCTAAAGATCTTGTGAGAAAGTTAGTCAAGAGGACTAAGAAAAACTTTCAGGATAATAGAGAGCAAGAACTTGAGATAGTTAGGAGAGAAGTCACACAAAAATTGAATAACAAATACATCCCTCAAATAAAGAACCTTGAAAGCTTAGTTGAAAAGATGCTTGTAGACAAACAAGATGATCATGAAAGAATCCAGTTCTTGGAAGGGTGACTTCAGAACAAGGCAGATCAGTTAATGGAAATGCAGATGGCCAAATTACAAATCAAAGATTTTGAATTAGAAAATGCTACATTAGTCAACCAAATTGAGGAGTTACAAAACTGGGTACTCCACCACACAGATTTCAAAGATTCTATCATAAGCGAGAGCAATGAGATCATTCAAACCTCAGGAATAGCTCTATTAGGAGACTCAGAGGTTGGGAAGACAGTCTTGACCTCTAGAATAGAAGAAGATGTGTTTTTACCCCATTCAGAGCCAACTAAGAGCTATGCCTTCAGGATTGCTACAAGGAATTACAATCATTCATCTGTGAAAATCAAGATCTTAGATACTGCTGGGAAGAATCGAGCTGAAACATTAAGTGTGAAATTTCTAAATTCAGCTCAATACATTTTCTTGATGTATGACATCACTAGCAGTCAGTCTCTAGAAGGCTGACAATTCTGGCTTAATGAAATTCCACCAGAGAGGATCAAAGACAAGATTATATACTTCATCGGTAACAAGGCTGACCTCAAAGACCAGAGAGAAGTCTCTCTCGAAGTTGCAGCTGAGTTTAGAGCCAGTAATGGAATTGACTTCCACTTTGAAGTGTCTGCTAAGACAGGGGATGGGATAGATAACCTACTTCAACATGTGATGAAGCACCTGTTTGTTCCTAGACAGTTTTCACTTTGATAAAGAGTTTGTCATGAGATGATCAAAGATGAACCTTCTCATAATAAAACCTTTGTGAATTTGTTCAAAATTTTCTTGAGGCAGTAGTGGTCTCTGATATTCTTGAAACTCTAATCTTCTGCTTAATGAAGGAATATTTCATTTATTTAAGTTATGAATAATTTATTAATAAAAATTAGTCTTATAAATATATTAAAAATGTATATAAAGCTCACAGAATTACCCCAAGAGAGGGGTTTTGGGGTTTTGGGGTTTTGGGG